CTCCAGCCGCAGCTCGCGCAGCGGCACGTCGGCAGGAAGCGCCTGGAAGTCCAGGTACGGCATCCGCTCCCGCAGCGCCGCCTCCTGCTTCGCCACCGCAGCAGCGATCTGCTCGGCGCGCGCCCTCATCGACTGCTCCGTCGCCGCAAGGGACTCCGCGTTCGCCGCCGGATCCTGCGCGAGCGCCAGACGACCTTCCGCAAGCGCCACAAACTCCTCGTCCTCCGTCAGTCCAAGTGCGGTCAGTGGGAGACCGGCCACAGCCACGTCACCAAGGCACGGGTACTCCTCCAGCAGCCGCTGCTCCGCACGTCGCGCGGCCCTTGCCGCCTTTTGCTCGTCGGTGCGCAGCTGCTGCAGTCGGTCCTTCATCTGCTCCTCCACGCACCGCACAGCAGGGGCGTTCATCTCCTCTCCCTCCGCCAGCAGCGCGTCGCGCAGGGCACACAGCTCCTGGTAGTACGGGTCCTTTTCAGCCACCACTGACACCCGCCGCGGGTGCGGAGGCGGCTGCGTGTCCGCGTCGGTGATCTCCCCCACCGCCTCCTCAGGGACATCTGCCACCTGGACGCCCTGCAACCGGTTAGAGGGTCCTGCCGCCCGCCGAAAACGCTTGTGTGCCGCTGCTGCCGCACGCTCCGCCTCGGCGTCCGCGGCCAACAGTGTCTTGGCTTCATCCAGCAGCGCCATCTTCGCGTCCTCCACCGCAGCCGCATCCGCCGTCGGGTCCGCCGCGAGTTCGTCATAGCGTGCGAAGAGCGGGTCGTGCTCCAAGTCGTCTCCCGCCAGCAGCTCCACACCGGGCAGCGCAGCGAGGAACGGGTACTTGGCCAGCAGCGCCTCCTCTGCAACCAAACGCGCCAGCGCCAGTTCCTCCGCACGGCCGCACAACGCGCTCTCCGTTGCCTTGATAGCAGCCGCGTTCGTCGCAGCATCCTGCTTCAGCAGCAGGCGCTCGTCCGCAAGCGCCGCGTACGTGGCGTCCATCGGGAGGCCGAGCTCGCGCAGCGGAACCAGCCGCACCTCGTTCGTCTCCAGGAAAGGGTTGTGGGCACGCACATCCTCGTCCTCATCGGCACGAAGCACATCCACCATCTTCTTCACGGCGGCGGCGTCGTGCGCACGTGCGCGCAACTGCCTCTCCACATCTACCAGTGCCTCGCGGTTCAAGCTCGGCTCCGCCGCCAACGCGTCGCGCTTCTCCACGAGCTCCTGGAACACAGCGTCGTCCGCAAGGCGCAGGTCGCCCACCAGAACGCCGTCCACGCGCTTCGCGAGGAAGGGGTACTTGCAGCACTCCTCCTCTGCAGCGTGCAGCTTCGCGGCACCCAGCTCCATTGCGCGCGCACGCACCGCCTGCTCCACCGCCGCGATTCGCTCCGCATTCGCAACCGGGTCGCTGCGCAGGTCATCCAGCTCGTTCGACAGTGCGCGGAACGCCGGGTCCTGCTGCAGGCCCGCCTCCACCAGCGAAACGCCAGGTACCGGCTCCTCCGGCACGTAGGGGTACTTCTCGTGCAGGTTCTCCGCCTCCACCAGCGCGCGGTGCTGTGCCTCCGCGGCGTCCTCAGCAAGCTTCCCCGCCAGGTCCCGCATCGCCTTCTCCAGCCGCCGCGCCTCCGCGCCGCCGACACGCTCGGGGTGCTTGCACACCTCCGCGTGCTTCGCCAGCAGCGCAGCGAACCCGGCGTCGCTCTCCAGCCGCAGCTCGCGCAGCGGCACGTCGACAGGAAGCGCCTGGAAGTCCAGGTACGGCATCCGCTCCCGCAGCGCCGCCTCTTCATTTAGTACTGCAGATATAAGGGTGTTGCAGCGTTCGCGCATCTCCTCTTCCTTCAGCTTCACCATCCGCATCGTCTTTTTTAGGGGGAGAATAAGGTCCTCTCGCTCCGCTGCTAACTGCATGAAGATGGGGTCGTTCTCGAGGCCGAGCTGCGTGATGGGAACGCCGCCAATTGTGTCGGCAAGGAATGGGAAGCGTTCCAGCAGCTCCTTCGGCGGAGCCAGCAGTTTCTGCCGCTCAGCGTCCATGCGCAGAAACTCCGGGTCCTGGTCAATTCGTATCCCCAACCGCGCCAATGTCTCGAATGGAGCGCGCAGGAATGGATACCTTTTCTGCATCGCTGACTCAAACCGCCCCTCAGCGTGCTGTGCCTGCGCCGCATCGGCGACAAGCTGCTTCAACCGGATCCGCATTGTCTCATTGAGGCAACGAACGGCGGGAGAGGGCCCTTCCAGCATCTCCTTCGCCTTGCAACGCTGGAGGTACAGATAGTAGGGATCCGCCGCGACGAGGGCGCTGGCCGTCCTTACAGGGAGCGCCATTTCCGCGTCGGAGACGGACACCTCATCCTCCTCGTCGTTCACGCCCACAAGCATCATAACAGGAAGGTGGCGACGGGTCTGCCGCGCACGCCAGAGCCGATGCTTATAATGCGCCGTATCTTTGTCTCGTAATAACTGCTGCACGCGCCGCGGTGACCGCTTCTCTGCACGCGCCCTTCGCACCTCCTGTTCCGCCTTGCAATACGTTTCCAGTGCCGCCAGCACACAGCGATCATCACCGATAAGGTAAATGGACCGGGAGAACTGTTCATGCTCAATGGAACAGACTGTTTGCATATCTATATTGTCCACTGAGAGAGCCTCATTCCGTGCGCGCTGCATCACGTTAAGAAGATCATCGGTGCGCAGCGAGGGGTTCACATCCCGCACACACATCGGAAATTCACAGCGTAAAGCGCTGACCTCGCCAGAAATCTCACACTCCGCACGAAGATACGCCTCCAGAAGTTCTGACACTCTCACCTGCGTTTTTTTTCGTAGTTCAGAAACCTCGTCCGACTGCAAAGAAGAACCAGACTCAAGAAGCGCCTCAACCTTGCTATCAAGCTCCGCCACCACCTCGTCCTCTCGGACATTAAGATCATACAGAAGACCATCACTTGCTAGTTTACGTGGTCGCTCCCCACCAAATTCAGCTCGTAACTCATCTTCCTCCACACAAACTTTCCGGGCCAAATCACACACACGCTCAATTAAACGAGCCTCCACCTTGGACACAGATAATCGATCACAGACGCCCAAAAAGCGTTGACGCCGTCGCTTCAACAGTTTCACCGTGTGATCATCATCAACACCAATCAAACGAAGAGGCACAAGTCGCACCTCGTTCGTCTCCAGGAAAGGGTTGTGGGCGCGAACAATTTCGTCCTCATCGGCACGCAGCGCGTCCACCATCTTCTTCACGGCGGCGGCGTCGTGCGCACGTGCGCGCAACTGCCT